AGATTGTCAAGAAAGCGTGTTTGTCGTGTTCATGTCAAATTAAACTGATCACAAAAAACAGATTTACTTTCTTTATTTCGTTTTCCTCATCCAACCCCCATAAATCCCTGTGTGTCCTCCTGCAGCACTCCCGAAGGACAGGCAAGACAAGACAAAAAAGTCTGACGTGTTGAGTAAAAACTGCTATTTTTAGCATATTTTTAGGGCCGACGTGTTGCTACCAGACGTACAGTGTGAGCAGTCAGGTCGCATCCGAGAACTAGGTCGTGCAGTGTGAGCACAGGACTCGTGAGATCTGCTCTGCGAGGAAGTCGTACAGTTTGAGCTGAAGCTGAGTGCTACGAGTGAAAAAGTCGCACTGTGTACGCCCGGCTTAAGTCAAACCCTCCCCACGGGTACAGAGACCAGACTCTCCGCAGGAGGTAGACGTAGCCACCATATAGTTCTACGCATGGAAATGGAAAGGGGGAGGAAGTGCATGTCTAACCCACTAACATGTACTAACTGACAAAGAATAAGCCCCCCCCCCCCCCCCCCCCCCCCCACACACACACACACACACCGTCCCTTTCACTAATTAAGAAACTCCTCCTCCTAAACCACAAACCGGATGTACTCACTAAAACCTTACAGGGTACTCTTGTAACTGTCAACCTACACTCTGCTCTGATTAATGAATCTCTACGTGCAATCAAGACTTTGTCTGAAACCATACAGCAGGATATTGTGTACACACGAGTGGTGAGAGATTTGATGCAGGACCTGCTCAGGGAAGTAAGTTCCACTATGGACAGCCTGGTGGAAGATCACATTCCCACATACTGCTCAAAGATATTTTGACAGCTGCTACTCCCTCTACTGCACACCCTTCACAAATCCACCTAGCGCACAGCCTAGGCAGTGCAATTCCCATTCACGTTGTTGCAGAGAAATTAGAACTTGGTTTCCTGTTAAATGTTCCCATAATTGAGACACCTCACATCTATAGGCTTAAGTCTATGCTAAACGTTGGTTTTTGGAAAGACGGTAAGCATTTCCACCTTAGAACTCCTAGCTTCCTAGCTTACCAAGATAATGATAGCAAACTCTATCCAACTCCTAACTGAGATCTATGCACAAAGACCAAGGATATCCACTGGGTGTGTCCTGGTAACCCATTTTTCCGGGACGTTGCCAATTATCAGTGTGGCCTCAGGAGCGACGCGCCCCTGCAGAATTGCCAAGCAACGGTTACATTAAAAGATGTGGAAATGGATACTAGAGTGGAACGTGCGGCTGACAGATGGCTTATTAGCACCCCAGCGGACTCGGCCCTTGTAACTTATGACCAACATAACGTTGCCACTGGACTACAACTGCCGAACCAAACCATTTTCCTCTCAGTTCCCCCAGGTGCAATTGTACACTTGGGCAACCTGGCACTCCACCATCTCAACCTCAAACAGTATGACTCAGAGATAGAGATCATGGACGCATTCCAGGGTTATAACTTTACCATTGATTTAGAAATTAACCAACAACTGCAGACTGAAGAAACCAAACTTGTTAAGTTCACACAAACCCCAGATGAACTTACTCTAACGCCCATGAATAGATACCCAAAACGCTCCATAGACACAGATTATACCACTTTAATCTGCACATTGGTTGCCCTGGGGCTGGGCCGTGATAGCTTATTCAGCCTACAGGCGTGTTAATAAACTCCAGGATAAGATGCACTTGCTCACCTATGGCGTGCCTCGCGACCACGTTCGGAGAAAGAACAAGCATGAGTGTACCACATCGGTCTAAAGGCGGTGAGCAACATTTTCTTTATTTTGTAACCCTGTAAGTAGTTTAACTTTTATTCTACCTCTAATTTTATCTAAGTTTTGCATTATGTTATTCTTTATAAGCTACACTCTGAATGTATGACCCATGAATGTATTTTATGATAACTCAGGGTTGCTATGAATTTTCTTGGATGTTATAATATGTTTTTGGGTTCTCTATATTTTTGTTTCTTACTTGATAACATTTAGCTAGTGGTTATGAGCCGGCCCAGCTCAGTCGGTCAGTGGATCTGTCGGCCGCCCAGCACAATTTAGAACCTCTTAGTTCATGTTCCTTGTTTTAGCCCAAAGACTGTCCTAATCCCCACCCTTTGGACCAAAAAGGGGGGAATCTTGGGACCACATAGGCTAATGCGCGCTTGCGAACTATGGACTCTCGTACATGGACTGCTTGTCCGGAACCGCGTGCCCCATGAACTGAACTGTATGGCTGGCTGAGATATGCCTTTCTATCCCCTCACGGGTGCCCCTGTTAAGCCCATGGACTGTGGACCGCCTGATCCTCGTCCCTTTTGTCCCCTCATGGAGTCAACTGCCCGTCGGCCTCCCTCCTTCCACACTGCTACCCGCATGGACGACGACACCCCTGGTAGAATGTCCGCAATCTGACTTAGTTGCATACCACCTGCGTGGGTGGTTCCTCCTCGTTATGCGCGTGGGAACTATCCCGTTTCCTATCCCTTCTTGTTCTTTTGCCTGACCAGGATCCAAGACCAAGACTAAGACCAAAGGCGACCAAGGCGACCAACGTTCCTGAGGGACGAACCCATCTGTGCGTCCGACGATTGAGCTCTGGCGCGATCCCCGAAACCAAAGGGGGGAATGTTGGGGTCCTGCCCTCATGAGAAAATTACTACGCAGTATTTTCTCCAAAGGACTATGCCATCTACGCCCTGAAGCATAGACAATAAAGCATATTGGTATCAGCGCCAGCAGGGACTCCATGTCCCATGATCCTCTGCAGCCAGCAGCAGCTTGATGATGTCATCACGCGCTGCCAAGTCTGACCGGCCCCTACAGAGACCGCCCGCTGGACGAGTCGATAAAGCCGAGGCGCAGAGCGGAACTCTTCCTCTTCCCGTCCAGTTCATCTGGTGTAAGGAGACCCCCCCCCCCCCCCCCCCCCCCCCCGCTCCGCTCCTACCGCGCCGGACAGCGTGTGCATGAGGCCTAGCTGCTGAGATCAACGCCGTCTGATCTGCTCAGCCCCGGACACAGAGGGACGCCTTGTGTTCGTTCATTCAAGATTTCTTTGTTTCCTTTTTTATATTTCTCTTTCTCTCCCGCTTCTCTAATAGTCCAAACAAGCGGTCGACCACGTGACTGCTTTAAATTAACAGACGGTCTCTCTCTTCCGTACTAAAAGCGTCAACGGACCATCTCGAAGTAAGCTCCGTTCTTTTATTGTTTAATATCTAAGTTTGTTTATGCTGTGGCCAGGCTGACAGACTGTTTAGATATGTGAATTACCCTTATGACTGATGTGTTGTTGTTTTTTTTCTTGATCTTTGTGAAGCGGTTTGAAGTGTTTTGATTAAGTTTACTGTGAACGTTTGCTCACATTGTGCGTGTTTGGGAAGACAAGCTAAATTACACACACACACACACAGTTCTATCCTTGGTTCAGCCAAACAAAGGATCCGCCATTTTGTTTCCAAAACTCCTTCCAGTTTGGTAATCAGCCTATCTCTGCCTGTTTACATCATCATCTCACCCCACCAGTCTGATTAGATTGTTACTTCACATTATCATTCCATGGTTTCATTGCTTGTTGTTTGTTTGATAAAATCAGTTGGTTGATATTGATTGGCTAGCACTTTGAAGGAGCTAAGGTGATTATATTAGTTAATAAATGTCATTGCCAATTAAGTTTTGTCTCAAGTGAATTTTTTTGTGTTGGGTAGAATGTGACCGCTGCTCGTTAAAAGAATTTTACGAACTTTAGACAGATTGACAGAGGTTTGGATTCATTTTTCCCCTGTAAGAAGGGGTGGTGCCCCGAGGCATATCCACGGATATCCTAATTACGTAATAAATCGGTAAATATTTCCATATTTACGAATTTCATTGATGAATCCAAAGAGTAAGTAAAGCTTACAAATTATTTGTTGGCTAATAACCACAACATCAGAGTTACAGAAGTCGCTGATTGAGACGAGGTGGCTCTTAGTTTTTGTTTGATATGAGTCTAGATTATATCATTAATCTGTCACCTGGGAGGAGGAGGATGGAGGAGTACTGTCTTACCACTGAAAGGAGGGTCAGATCACAGCTGTGGATTCACCCTCTCTGATGGGTGCTGTGAGGAGGTGGGGTCGACCGTTTTCACTCTGAGTGGTGAAAACGACTCCAGAATGAAAGATATTCCGATTAAATGCTGACTTTTGTTTGATTTTACCACTTAAAAGGCACACAGTCTTATGGTAAAGGTAATGATGATAATACAAACTGAAGCTGAAAAGAGGCTTTGTCACACTCGTGACATTTAACTCTGATGCTTTCATTTAACCATATATATATATATATATATATATATATATATATATATATATATATATATATATAGCAGTTAAATGTGTTTTTGTGCGAAAGTTACAATCACCATATTACCCATTGAAGCTAGCTTTCTGAAAAGCCTCTGTTCAGAAAATTAGTTTACATCAGACAGGATTGACAAACTAACAGCTAGTCCAAAAGCAGCCTAAAGCAGGACATTTGGTCCAGCTCCAGTCTCTAAAACCAATTAGTTATTCATGACTTTATAAATGTGGCAACCTGGGCTCAGCTAACAGGCTACCCATTAACTCTTAGGTCCTGAAGGAAGTAAGTTAGTCCTCCAAACAAGAGGCCATTCAGGAAGCTTATTTCTGGTAAAAATTGTAATTACAGCTGAAAAATGGAAATTAAAAAATTGCCTTTTAATTTTCACTGATTGTCCAGAATAATTCTCAGTGATCAGGCTCGATGCAGTCTGCTGGGTTCCCTAACAAACTGGCATAATGAACTGAACTCAGATGATAAGTTGGTTCAGTTGGAATGTTTACGTTTGTGCTTTTAGGCGACTCTAGTTGTGATTATATAAATAAACAGAATTTATTTGGTTAATTAATAGACTTTAAAAGTAACCGCAGGTTCTCCAGATGATTGAATTCTGTTATTTTCTGACAGGAAAGAGCTCCACCAAGTACGCTCAGATTGACATCACCGCCACAGAGACGGCCCACAAAGTTGGTGCCCAGCACGCTCTGGGTCGGCAGGAGGGGCTCCACACTCTGGAGCTGAGGAGAAAAGGAACACCTCACTGACGCCACCCAAACACCAGCCTGAAGCATCAGATGGTGACTTTAGGAGCTGTAGGCATGACAGATTCAGATGAAACACCGATCCTGTGGAGGTTAAAACTGCTTTTTAATGTTCTTTTCTTTCTCCGTCTCAGGTTGAATCAACGAGCGGCTTGAGGGTTGAGCTTTTGGAGCAGTGATACGTCTTTCTGAACTTGAGTGCTTCATTAAATGTAATCATGTCAACCAGAAGAGCTCAGAGCAGCTCAGAGCTGAGTCACAGCCTATAAAAACCCTCTGAGCGGCGACATTTCAGCTCCGTCCGTCCCTCAAAGCACGCAATACTCCGATTTCTGTCATCATGTCACTAACCAGCAGTAAGACAGGGAGCAGGGATCAGTTGGAAATAAGTATTAATTCCATGTATACAAACCTCTTTGAATGTATTCAAATTTAGAGAAACAGCATCCAGTCAGACTGGAAATATAACGCAGAGAGACGGGTTTAATGTCTGATCGCCTGTTGAATCCTTTATCAACACTAATCATTAAAACACTTGAGGCTATTGCTTTTAAACTGGTTTCAGTGGTTCCTGAGCTAGAAATGTGAGCATCTTCAAATGGGACAGCACTCTACTGCCCTCTGCTGACCAGGAACTGCACTAAACCACTTGGGTGGTTCGGGTAGGAGAGGTCTCTACCTGTTTACTAGCTTATTTATGCCAGTAGCTAATATAAAGGCTAGCAGTTAGCTTTTTCCATCCACCGACGTTCAATAGAAAGCTAAAGAAGAAGAAAGAATGAGCTTTGTTGTTGGCGTCATGGCAGAGCCTGGAAGTAAGGCGGAGCAAAGAAAGCTTGAACTAGACAAAGAGGTAAAGCCATGTAAGCACGGGTGCGGCCTACACTTGTTGGTTTCAGCTTCAAACCAGCTAGAAAAAATAGGGAAGTTCATTTTCCGCCTTTGTTTCTGAGGACAATAAGCATACATTCATTAACGATAAATACGACATTGTTATTTGCAAAGCCTGCGGCAGGATTGTTTACCGGCCAGTTGTAATTCTGCTCTCAAGCAGTAGGGGGAGGGACTAATTGTTACAAACAAGTTCTGCATCCTAGCCTGGCCAGCCACTCTGTTTAATTCTGCACAGAGACTGAGTCTGGTAACTCTCGGCAAAGAGCACCATGAGAGGCGGTACTAGCCAGCTCAAAAATAACCAATCAGAAAAAAGTCGGAAATGACGGCTATATCGCGCAACGCTGTAGTTTATTTTTTTACCGGTAGTAAGATGTAATGACGATGAGGTCCTGCCCTAAGTGGAGGAGTTTAAGTATCTCGGGGTCTTGTTCACGAGTGAGGGAAAACTGGAGTGTGAGATCGATAGGCGGGTTGGTGCTGCATCTGCTGTGATGCAGGCGTTGTACCGGTCTGTTGTGGTGAAGAGAGAGCTGAGTCAGAAGGCGACGCTCTCGATTTGCCGGTCGATCTACGTTCCTACCCTCGCCTATGGTCACGAGCTTTGGGTAGTGACCGAAAGAACGAGATCGCGGATTCAAGCGGCCAAAATGAGTTTTCTCCGCTGAGCGGCTGGGCTCTCTCTTAGAGATGGGGTGAGAAGCTCAGTCATCCGGGAGGGGCTCGGAGTAGACCCGCTGCTCCTCCACATCGAGAGGAGCCAGTTGAGGTGGCTCGGGCATTTGGTCAGGATGCCTCCTGGACGCCTCCCTGGTGAGGTTTTCCGGGCACGTCCAACCGGGAGGAGACCTAAAGGAAGACCCAGGACACGGTGGAGGGACTATGTCTCTCACCTGGTCAGGGAACACATTGGGATTCTGCGGGAGGAGCTGGCCCAAGTGGCTGGGGAGAGGGAAGTCTGGTCCTCTCGCCTTAGGCTACTGCCCCCGCGACCCAACTCCAGATAAGCGGATGAAAATGGATGGATGGAATGGATGGACGGTAATAAGATGACGTCCGGCGTACACGTAAATAATAGTTGTCGTCTTTGTAGTAAAAATGTAAGAACCCACAGAGTTATAAGCAATTCTCTTTTAATATTTGAACGAAAACTACAAGACAGGACAGTTTCCGACAGATGTGCGTGTTTGGGATTAAATTTAAGCCAAGAATGATTAAGGTCGGTGCGTATTTGTAGAACATGTGCAAACGTCAGTCTCTGTGCAGAATTAAACCGAGAGAGTCTGGCTGGCCAGGCTAGCTGCATCCTGGATTTGGGTTTATTCTTCACCTCTAGTGCAAAGCTGAGAGGAATCGTCTCTGAAACTGAAGATTTCCTTTCAGAATTTATTTATATACCCAGAAACATTATTTATTATTATATTATTATTCATTTCATTATGTGTGTGCACATAACCAAAGTGATACAAAAGTTGTTTTTTTCCTCATAATCTTCTGATTTGATTTTTTAATTTATTAGCAGTTGTGTTTTTACTTGGAGAGCGTTTTTAATAAAACAGGTGTACAGATGTAGCATGATATCTGGCATTTAAAGAGCATCATTTCTATAAGGATGCACTATTTCTTTGTATCATTATTACATATTATACACAGCAACTCCTGGGATAAATGTTTGAACATATAAAAAGTTCAACTCAAAGGTAGAGAAAACATCCTGAAGAGAGGAACCCGTTACAGACGAGTCAACGTTAAAACCGATTTTATGAAGCAGTTTCTGTGTTGTGATGCTCTAATTGTGTTTAGCTTTAATCTGTTTAAAATTGAACTTGTTTTGAAGCATTTGTGTAAAGGTTACAGGTAATTATCAGCTTTGTGAACAGCCTATGTTTGGAGAAATTGTTTAAATCACCACCAGGAGCTACATGTCACTTGTTTTTTACTGAATCCAGGTGTCAGTTCTGGCAAGAATTTCTTCAATTTGTCAGAATAATTGTTGGAAGTGAAATGGTATTCATAGAATAACTAGCCGTTAGCATGTTAGTCATTTCTTCTCAGAGGCTGTTCTAGAAAATGGCAAGATAACTTTTCTACAACTCTTCAGACAGTCAGAGTATTGCTTTAATAACGTGTTTTTTCATTAAGAGATTTGCAGTCAGAAAATTGTAATGGAGTCGTTTCCTAATAAAGTTGTACATTTTAAATAAAATAGAACGACGTGAAACCAAATAAAATGTGCTTTTATTTGTTTTGGTCTTTTATTGCATTTTTCCTGAAGAAAAAAGACTAAAATCATCTGGAGACAAAGTCGTGATCTGATTAAACAGTAAAATGGTAAAAGGCCTGTATTTGTATAGCGCCTTGGGGTTCTACAACCCCCCAAGGCGCTTTACAACACAATCAGTCATTCACACACTCACATGCTGGTGGGGATGAGCTACAGTGTAGACAGCTGCCATGGTGCACACTCACAGAGCACCGGTGCCACTGGTCCCCCCAACCACCACCAGCAGGCAAGGGGGGTTAGGTGTTTTGCCCAAGGACACAACAGCAGCATTCTCTGGTCGTAGCCAGGATCGAACCTGCAACCTTCCAATTACTGGACAAAAATTCTTAAACTGTCAAGTAATTAAAATATTCTAGAAACAAACATCAGTTGTTTGAGCAGCAAACCAGAAGGGTGGTGGTTCAATTCAAGCCCGACCATGTACGATCCTCGACCATAATATTTGGTGTGTGTGTGTGTGTGTGTGATACACACACTGAAATTAAAAGCAACTGAGGTCAGAACAAAGAAAGCTTAAATTCTAAATTCAACATGGCTGCTTCATATGGGCTCATTGCTGCATTGAAAAAACTATATTCTCCATTCAGTGAAAATATATCAATGCGTCTCACATTATACGCTACACTCTCGACAGTTAAAAATAACAGCACAACATAAAACGAGTATCTGAGCTGAAAGTAGACCAAATCTAATTATAAGACACTGAATAGTCTCTTATAATTGAGCAAGAATTCCCTACATTTTTAGAGTTTGAACAGTTTCTCCACCATTCCAGAGCATTGATGCTCACTGACCCATTAGCTTTTACTGACTGCTGACGCTCCCTGGCGGTATAGGCGTTTCCTGTTTTCAGTGTTGCACTACGTGTAGCTGTTTGGTGTTTGTGGCTTAAAACTGATTTAATTTCTCTGTACTAGCATATCTCTGAGTTATTGTAGCACATAAGCAGGCTAAAACACACAATTTTTGTTGTTCCACCTAGCTTTTAGGGAACCATTTGAGTTTGTACGCGGTTTATTTGGTGTTGAACAGTTTGCTCGTCCAGTTAGCTTAGCCTCAGCACAGCTATGGCTACTTCTGTCTCTGCTTCTCCGTCTCCTATCTCTTGCTCTCTGTGTCAGATGTTTAGTTACTCCTCTGCCTCCTTTAGTGATAATGGTACCTGTAATAAATGTAGCATTTTTGTAGCTTTGGAGGCGAGGGTGTCGGAATTGGAGGCCCGACTCCACGCTGTTGAAAAGCCCGTAAACAGCTGTAGCTACTTAGCTAGCGCGGGGCTAACTAGCTCAGAGCCGCCCCGTAGCGGTCCTCCAGCAGAACCCGAGCAGCCGGGACCTCAGGCCAGCTGGGTGATGGTACGCAGGAAGCATAGAACCCAGCCCGTGGGCCACCACCAACCCGTCCACGTTTCTAATAGATTTTCCCTGCTCAGCGACGCATCCACTGACAAGCCGACTCTGTTAATTGGCAGCTCCATCGTCAGAAACGTGGCATTAGAGGCTCCAGCAACCATAGTTAAATGTTTACCTGGGGCCAGAGCGGGCGACATTAAATCTTACCTGAACCTGCTGGCTAAGGATAAGCGTAAATACAGTAAGATTGTTATTCACGCTGGCGGTAACGACACCCGGTTACGCCAATCGGAGGTCACTAAAATTAATGTTGCTTCAGTGTGCAAGTTTGCCAAAACAATGTCGGACTCCGTAATTTTCTCTGGCCCCCTGCCCGATCGGACCAGTGACGACATGTTTAGCCGCACGCTGTCCTTCAACCGCTGGTTGTCTAGGTGGTGTCCTGAAAACAACGTGGGCTACATTGATAATTGGAAAACTTTTTGGGGAAAACCTGGTCTGATGCGAAGAGACGGCATCCATCCCTTTGGATGGAGCAGCTCTTCTTTCTAGGAACATGGCCAGTTTTATTAGTCCTCCATGACAAACCAGGGTCCAGACCAGGAAGCAGAGTCGTAGTTTAACACACCCCTCTGCAGCTTCTGTACTGTTACCCACCCACTACCCCATAGAGACAGTGTCCTGCCCACGGCCAAAATCACACAGATTAAATATCAGGCTTAATAAAGCAAATAATGGAAATCTCATAAATATTAGAACAAATTCAACTGAGCAGAAAATTAGAAAAATTAAATGTGGGTTGTTGAACATTAGATCTATTTTTTCTAAGACTGTTAGTTAATGACTTGATTTGTGATCATCAGATTTCTTTGCTCTCTCTCACAGAATCCTGGCTGCAGCAAGAGGACTATGTTAGCTTAAATGAGTCGACTCCTTTAAATTATTTAAATCATCATATTGCACGAAGTACAGGGCGAGGAGGAGGAGTAGCAACCATTTTTCATTCGGACTTATTAATCAATCCCTTACCAATTAATAGCTACAGTTCGTTCGAACATCTTATTCTTAGTTTTCCTAATCCAGATTGCAAAACTATAAAACCACTCTTGTTTGTAGTTTTATATCGTCCACCAGGCCCTTACTCTGAGTTTTTGGATCAGATCTCTGATTTTTATCTGATTTGGTGCTAAATACTGATAAGGTCATTATAGTGGGGGATTTTAACATACATGTGGACATTGAAAATGATAGCCTCAATGTAGCCTTTAGTAATAGCTTAGACTCAATTGGTTTTACTCAAAGAATACATAGCTAGTCAATCACCTGACCTGAATGGCATTACATTAATCTCCGAGAACAACGTAAGGAACCTTGGTGTTATCTTTGACCAGGACATGTTATTCAAATCCCAAGTTAAACAGGTTTGTAGGATTTCCTTTTTCCACCTTCGGAATATTGCTAAGATTAGAAGCATCCTTTCCAGGAGTGATGCTGAAAAACTAGTTCATGCATTTATTACATCAAGACTGGATTACTGTTAATCATTACTCTTAGGAAGTCCACAGAATGTAGTTAAAAGTCTTCAGCTTGTCCAAAATGCTGCAGCTAGAGTTCTGATGAGAATTAAAAAGAGAGATCATATCTCTCCTGTCTTAGCTTCCCTACATTGGCTACCTGTTAAATTCAGAATAGATTTTAAGATCCTTCTTCTCACATATAAAGCTCTTGATAATCAAGCTCCATCATACATCAGTGATCTGATTGTTCCATGCGTTCCTAACCGAGCACTTCGCTCACAGACTGCAGGTTTACTGGTGGTTCCCAAAATATCTAAAATTAGGATGGGAGGCAGATCTTTTAGTTATCAGGCTCCTCTCCTATGGAACCAACTCCCAGTCTTAGTCCGTGAGGCAGACGCCTTGTCTACTTTTAAGACTAGGCTTAAAACATTTTTATTTGATAGGGCCTATGGTTAAAATCAGATGTTAGTCCAGATCTGGACAAGTGGGGGAGTAGAGGGAGGTGGAGTGTACAGTCGGTAAAGACGGCTCTCCCTTGCCCTGCCTCCAACATGCCTCCATCTAAAAGGCTAGGTTATCCAGAGTTATCTCTGTAGTTATGCTGCTATAGACTTAAGCCTGGTTTATGCTTCTCCGTCAGCTCCGCAAGGGACAGACACGCACGGATTGACGGAAGCGTTTTGCTCTTTTACCTCGTCTCCTGGAGAGTGTTGCAAAGCAATTGCCTGGCCGGACCACAGAGGGCGTAGCGCTGTTCTGTGGTATCCTGTCATGTATCGGTCCAAGATAGTATGTTTATATTGTGTTTTTTGTGTATATAAGAGACTTTTAACACGGACGTATTTGTCTCTCATTCTCCCACCGCTTCATGCGCGCCCCACCTCTAAACCCACGTTTCCTGTCATTTCCGTCCACAAATAAAACGCTTGCTGCGCATCTTTTCACTCCTCCAGTCACGGGAGGATGAAACGTTCATATTTTTAGAGTTTTTTCGCGAGGCATTCTTCAAGCGTTTCCGTGTCTGCCGCTAGTTATCCTCGGCTCTCTCTGCAATGACGGCGCTGTAAACAACAGCGGCGTCCTGACCAATCACAAGCTTGCGTAATCCGTTTCGTTCGACGGATGTTTAAAAAAGTGGGCTCGACTCCGTACGTACTTGCGTGCATGCCAGATCCCTACGCAACGATGGATAATGGCGTTGCGTGTGCTCCGCACTGACTCAGACAGAGAAGCATTAATCAGGCTTTAGACTGCAGGAGGATACACTGACCACTTTTCACACTCTACTACTTTCTTCTACAATCTGCTCTTTAACTGTATTATTTTCTGCAATTTCAGCTATTAACTTTATTTTTTCTCTAAGTGTTTTTCTCCCCAGAAGAAGCTACAACAATGTTCTGCTGAGCTGTGGTGGCCTCATGGAGGGGGCCATCGTCTAGCACACTGCTGCTAACCACTTACTTTCTCCCTCTCCTGATAATAACTTTTTGCTTTCCTTGACGTTGGATGTGCTAATAATAGTTTACCCGTTTAACAATAGATTCACTAGGATAAATACAATAAAGTTTATCTCTCGCCAAATAGAATAATTACTAAGCAATCACGGTGTAACCATGGACACATTGCTTGGGGTGTGTGTGTGTGTGTGTGTGTGTGTGTGTGTGTGTGTGTGTGTGTGTGTGTGTGTGTGTGTGTGTGTGTGTGTGTGTGTGTGTGTGTGTGTGTGTGTGTGTCTGCTCTGTCTTCTCGATCCCCAGTGAGTCGTGGAGGATGGCTGCTTATACTGAGCCAGGATTCTCTGGAGGTTTCTTCCTGTTAAAAGGGAGTTTTCCTCTCCACTGTCGCTATATGCTTGCTTAGTGTGAGGATTGTTGTAAAGTCACTGACACTAGTCAGTGACTTGATGCAACCTGCTGGGGTCCTCATATAGGAAACATGTTTTCTGATTGGCTTAATGAACTGACCTGAATTGGAATGTTTATTATGTGACGTGCCTTGAGACGACTCTTATCGTGATTTTGTGCTATATAAATAAAATTGAATTGAATAAAATTGAACTGAATAGTACAA